ATGAGGCAAAGAGAGTGAGTGAAAAATAAAATATTTCTTACTATAAATTGATTTCTGAATCCCTCATTTCCTTTAGCATGTCCATTAGCAACAAATTCTCCAAATTGTCCAACAGGTACTAAGTTTTTACCACCTTTAGCAGTTGAGGTGTCATTACTTGGAATCCTGGCCCCTTCCACTGCAACTGTGAGTACAAGTTGTTGACTAACTGTTCCAGCATCATTATTAGCAACAAAACGATATGTTCCTTTATGCTTCTCCTCAACACTCACTAGCAGTAGACTACCATCTCCTCTCAGCTCATGAGCATAATCATCAGTCACTGGCTCTCCATTATGATACCAATTAAAAGATGGGGTAGGAGTTCCCTTAAACTTAACTTTAAAAAGAATCTCATGACCTTCTTCACTTGTCACATCATTAGGGAATTCTTCTATTATTGGCAGTATAGGCTCCATTACTGTACTGTAGTTTGACTCTTGAATTTTTTCTACTGTAATAAGAAAATAAAACAAAAAGCTGTTCATACTGCGTAATAAATATAATTGTTGAAATACATTTCATTAGTTGATCACAAAAAATCAATGGCACATACCTCCAATTTCTTCATATCCTCCATTATTATTAATTGCTGTACTGTAAGGTGTTAAGTTTTGTTCAGGAGTTTGTTTATTGTTTAAATTGACTACATCATAATCCTTCTTAAATCTCTTCTTCCTGTTATGTATTAAAAATTCAATGCATACAATCAAATATTTACTTTAATACAACTACAGTGATGATTACAATTATTATGACTATCAGTAGTAATGATACAATAGCTCCAACTGCTATGAAAACAATAGTCATTGAGCCTCCATTAGTAGTAGTAGGTATTACAGGAGTGGAAGTACCTATTTATTTAGTAATATCACATTAATAAGTCATAAAATCACTTGATCCTAATGCTGATATCACAGTAGTTCTGGATATACTCATCATTAACGTACCTATCGTGTGGTTACTAGTAACTTATGCATGATAGTGAGTTTAGCAACTTACCTGATGATTGAATCAGCGTTGATACCATTAAAGTGTTTGATATTGCAGTAGGAGTTAGAGTGACATCTATAGTATAAGCAAACTATATATTCAAGTTATTTCACTTTTATATACTTGGTGATATTGGTTGAGTCCTCTCCCCTTCATAAATGATTCCATTAACAGTAAATGACGTAGATATAGAGAACAAGTAGTTCAGATTAGGATCTAAACCTCCTATTAGACCTTCAGTAGTATCACCTGGGAATACTCTCATTCCTGTCTCTACTTGTCTCTTCTTTCTTGAGGAGCTACTGGTTGACTCATAATAGACAGTATAATGACTAGCTCCAGAAACAAAGCTCCACTCAGCCCTCACTGCTGTAGAATTGAGCTTTGTTATAGAAAAGGTTTTAATGACAGCTAAAAATTTTGAAACATTATGATCATAGTATTCTCAGTAATTTCTTACATATTTTATTAGTAGTGTAATTTCTATCAGTCAATTCTCCTGGTCCAATACTAGTATATGCTCTCACTCCAATAGTATAACTAGTATTAGGTATCAATCCTACTATACTGTAATAAGTGTTAGTAGTGTTAGTTATATTGTATGGACTAGTACTGGTAGACTCTCTATATCTTATCTCATATACTGTAATGATACCATTAGGTATTGTAGGAGGATTCCATACAATAAGTATTGCATCTGGGTTTTTTGAGTGTACTAGATCAGATATCACACCAGGAACTGTGTTAAGATCATGTTAAGCTCATCAATATCTCATTGACTTACTTGATTCACCAGTTAATTGTATTTCTTGTCTAGCTGGTCCATTCATATTATAATTATAAGGTATTATACTCACAGTATAGCTAGTATATGGTATTAATCCTGTGAGATTATACATTCTGTTGTCTCCTCCAGTGATATTAACAGTATAACTAGTGTTTGAAGTGATGTTAGTGTATGTGAGGTAGTACCCAGTGATTGGTCCATTGCTTTCATTGCAAGGTACTTCATCCCATGAGACAGTCATTGACACTGACTCTACTGATGAGAATATAATATCATCCACTGGTCCAGTAGGGGCTGTATAAAAAAGAAATAAACATAAAATCTTATTATTTTACCAATAGAGAGTGTAGTAGTTGAATAATTAGTAGCCAGATTAGCTATCTGAGATCCATATACTCCAATAAGATCAAAGGCACATTGACTGTAAGGAGGTATACCAGTTAAAGTATGTGGTGATGAAACAAATATTTCACTATTACTAGTGACTAATGATTCACATGATCTCCTACATCTCCAATTAATATAATAAAACATAGGTACTACAGTAGTTGGTGGATTCCAAAATAATGTAACATTATTACTTGTAATTAAAGTTGCTGTAAAATGATTAACTACTGGATCATCTAAAATACCATATTGTCATTTATTTCAAGTTATTAGTCACAACTTACCAATTGTTAACATAACTGATGCATTACCACTAGGTAGAAAAGCTGATCCATAAGATACTACATAGAAAGTGTATGTATTCCCTCGAATCAATGTTGATGCTGTTATATCAATTGTTGTCAAACTAGTAGTGTCTAAGCTAATTGAATTATTGCTAACAGACAGTTGATAGTAGACCTCATAACCAGTAGCTCCTGATACAGTAGACCAGGAAAGTCTTACATGAGCTAAACCAGTACTTAATCTTGTAGCAGTTAAATCAGTTGGAGCATCAGATACTGAAAATATATAATAAAATTTATTTTAATATTAGTCATTAACCTGATAAACTTAATGATGAAGTATCAGTGACTGCTGTGGGACCCACACTGATAGGTCCATCAATTACTCTGGTATTAGATACAGTACACTGATAGTTACCAGCTTCTCTCAGTCTCACTGTTACTGTCACTCTTGTAACAGATCCTGATCCATCCACTATCACACGAGACAGTTCAGTAGATATTCCATTCCCATTCACTGAACAATTGACAGTAGTAGGAGGACCATCAGAGACATTGAAACTGAGACTGAAGACTGGAGGAGTAGCTAATCTACTAGTGGAGAGGAGAGAGAACTGCATAGTAGGATCAGCATCAGGACCATCTGTAAAAGAAGTACATTAATTATAGTCTATATTCATCACATACCATTGTTATTGTATCCAGTATCAGTATATGCTCCAACCACTAGTAATTGGTTCACTCCATTCTCATCAGGAATGATACACTTGTATAAACCTTCATATCCTGATAGTCCTTCTCTTCTAGCTAGTGCAACCTGACCTTGGAATTTCTTACTGTACACTGGTCCAGGAGCCAATGAACCAAAGGGTCCATCAAATAAAGGTACTTCAGTTCCATTAGGATGATACCACACTCCAATATTAGCACCATTGTTAGCACTCTGACACCACAAAGCATCAGTGACATCATTAACATCATTATTCTTATCTTGATCATAAAACTGGCTAGCATATATCATAGAGTAATCAGGTATTATCCTGTCCTGATAAGGTAGGTACAATCGAACACCTAATGAAAAAATTTTTATATCTTTATTTTTACACATAGTCACATACCACTTTTAGGTATAAGGATAGATGGTGGCTCGGGTCCCTTTGCTTCTCCTGATCCTAAAACCAGTATGATACTCCATAAAGTAATGGAACAAGCAAAAATTAGTGTCAATCTCCTCATCTTGTACAGACTAAGCCTGAAGTGATGTGGTCAATAACATAATGAGACAGTTATAACTGACAGCAAAAATAACAACATGTGTCACAACATACCTTTAATAAAATGACCATCATCTTTTACTTCTTATACAGCCTACAATTTTTGTAAATAATTAAAGTATTAAAAAGTAACTATTAAAATAGAAAAAACAAAATCAAACATTTTATGCTAAAATATATGAAGTCATTATTATTTCATGTAGTGAAATTTGCATATGTTTCAAATGAATCCAAGTACGACAGTACAATCTGAAATATTCCTTGAAATTGATACTAAAAGAAAATAATATTATAACACCAAAAAATACAGTCTATATCAAACACAAAAATGTATTTCTTTAATTAATTCTTCAGAAGATATTGATTGATACTTACAACAGTCTGTACACTGCCTGGTTTTTGAATACGTTGACTTTTGAGTACTTGAAATACATCAATGACTCCTTCAGTTTTACATTTATTAATTGTTGTAGCAGCTGCACAAAACATTGCTGAACGACCAACTGTATCACTATAAAAAAGGAAATTGAAACTAATATTTAAATCAGATTTCTTTCTCACCTGCAGTGTACTACAATGCTTGTGTTTCCTCTTTTCCTTTGTGTTCTGTACATTTCTTCTATCACCAACAGTATAGTCTGAGGGTTAGTCATCTTTCCAGTTGAATCCCAATTTGTTATTTGATACTGTTTTACTTGTTGCTTATCGCCAGCCTATGTTGTGTACATGTATATGTGCACTATGAATTACAAAATGAATAGATATACTTTGTTGTCATTTGTAACTTCAATTTTCCTCTCAATATATCCAGCATTGTGTATTTCTTCATTCAAAAGTGAAATATTGTACTCTCCTAATTTTCCATTTGACCAGTACTGATAACAAACCTCCTAATCATAAATAATAATTAAAAATTAAATTATCTACTCATTATTATTACTTGATCATTTTCATTTTCTTGGCATAGCATTACAATAGCAGTCACATTTCTATCATCAATCATCTTCCAGAAGTTTCTAGCTGTATTAAACATTGGACTCTCTGCAATTATGAATGCTTTCTTTTCTTTGTAACCCTAAAATGATAAGTATATACTTATGATACAAGGAACTAGTGACAATGCATTACATTAATAAAAACTGCATTGATGTAATCTGGATGCTCTCCTTTAAGGGGTACTCTGTAATTATCAGCTGTGGATAATGCAAAAAATTAATAGTTTACACTCTTAATTTTTGCCTATACATACGTGGTAGGAATTGATTTAATCTGTTCCTGTCATTATTCTGTGATGCAATATTATGTGTCACTTCATCTGGTCTTTGTGTTACCTGCTCCAATACCTAATAAATGAGATAATAATATTGAACCTTTCTATAATAAATAATACAGTAAATTGTTCTTCATAACTAGTTTGACCAGTTTTAGTATCAGGTTTACTCATCCTGTTGAATACAATACGAGCATTCCTACTATCAACCTGTGTATTACCACATGTCACTGACTCA